TGCGAGATCGCAAGAAAAAGTACCGGTATGTTTCCTTTGTGCTAATTGATCATCACACTCACCATTTCTAGTTTGCGCAGGGACAAGAACAATTATCTGCACCACCACACCGAAGGACGACACGCATTATCTGGACGAATCATGTTTGGAACAAACCTGTTCATCATTCGTAAGGCGTAAGATCCATTTTGACCTCTTCTCCTTTCAAACAGTTAGCGACGTGATGCGTTCGTTGCACATCTCATGCACGTCTTACTGTTGTGTTTCTTTCGTTTCTAAACAGGAGAAAGCTCGAGTGTTTGGTGCTAGATCCTGTCGTTGATTGAATCGTGACCGGCCAGCAGCCAATTCCTCTCCCTGTTCACGAAACAGACTGGGCACTACTACTTGATGTTTACGAAACAGACCAGGTACTACTTACAGCAGAGATTTTTTTTTTCTACAGAGGGTACTGTGAAAACGGCCGCTCAAGCTGCGACTGGCGTTTTCACGTGAGACGCAAATGGATTACCAGGCAAGTGCTGAGCAATTTGTATTATACTAATCGTGACGATTAAGCAGAGATGTGGGGACCTGGAAGAGCATGACTTCGTTGAAGCCAGATGGAGAGATATAAACGGGTTGTGACTCAAGCCAGAGCGTTGCCGTGCTTGAAGCGTCCTCCACACGCAAAGACTGAGAGCTCGGCCTGGGCTTGGAGTAAAGGCCTGTGACCGAAGAAGCAGAGCTTCCCGCGGGGGAGCACCACAGCCATCTGGTAAAACAGGACTGGCGAGGTACCCGAGTTACTGACGACGGTGTAAGTTCCTTGGACCCGGCCGGACTCGCTCGAGTTGTAGCTGGGGTGGAGAGTCACTTTGTCGTCCATGGCGAACAAGGTACCAAAGGGTGAAGTTGGCGTTGCCGGTGCTACTAACTTTGCGCTCTCTGGTGTTCCAGCTTCCGTGGCATTGATGATGTCGTGGATGTCAAACTCGAAGTGGGGATCTTTGGGGTAGCGATGTGATTCGGGTAGCGGCGGTGGACGTCGCGCTGCGCCAAAGCCACGGAGAAACCTCTCGGAGGCTTGCTGCTATCATCAATTAGTACAAAGGCACTGACCTGTGAGGAGCAAGAGTAAGCGATGCATTTTTTTTTCCAGTATGGTGGAATTGGATTCAAAACATTTATAGATGAGAATGGGCCGATGCCAGCTCGAGCTCTGTCCAAATCTGGTTCTTGTTTTTTATTTTCGTATTCATAGTTAGATTAAAGTTAAGAGCACCGCCACCTTTTGTCAATGTTAAATTGGTTGTGTAGCTCCATTCTAGGTCGTTTGGTGATTGATTTCTTCTCTCTTGGAACATTCTTGTCGTGTGTTTCGGAAGTGCGTCTTGTGTTTGAGTCCACAGCTATCACTGGCCGAAAAAGAGAGATGTTTCGAAAGACGACCTTGTGATTTATACACCACGTTCCGATATATAGGTTAGGCCAGAGTCAATCCACCTTTTACAGTTTCTACGTTGGAGTGCTGGACTCTTTGCTGAGCTGAGGAAGAACCACAGCCAGAAAACTGCGAATGTGAAAATATGGATGCAGAACTATGGGTGCACCTCAAGGCCGCGTTCGACAGGTTTCACTGCAGCCCGTCCCGGCGAGTTGCAGGACGAGCTCACTCCCACCTTGCTTACCACAGCGATGGCAATGGTGGTGAAGACGACGGGGAGCTCTTGCAGAATCAATCCTCTTTCCAGGTAGTGATGAGCGAGCTTAAAGAAATCATATCATCACCATCACGATTCTTCTTCTCTTGAATCAATCCCCCATGCCCTTCCTCACTCGCCCCCCCACGACTCCCTCCTCCATTTCCTCCAACTCTTCCAGTAGCTCCTCCAGCTCGCATCCCAATTTCCACCGCTTGCTCATGGACCGCACCCGCGCGGTCGGCGCTAACGAAACCCTCAAAGTCCAAGAGCTGGTGCCCGTGGCCTCCTCGCAGCGCCCAACAGATCGAGTGGCGCTCGCGCTCGTCTCGGCGCCCCGCTCCACGCCTCGATGCACCAGGAGCTCACGTCCCGGCAGAGCATCACCCAGCCTGCGCGCCATGGAGCGCGTTGCCAACGCGATTCCTGGGCACCAAGCGCGTCCACATCGTCGACTATGAGATTTTCTACGGCGACCAGTGGCCGTTGCATTTTCGCGCGCTCTCGGAGAGGGCCGAGGGGCTCAAGATCACGGGCGTTGACTTTGCCGACTTGGTCAACTTAGAGCTGACCGAGCGTAAGATGTGGGAAACTGCTCCAAAAATTCAAAAAGTCGCCATGTCACGTGTCGGTCGCACCAAGTGTACAGCTCTCGTGAATGCAAAACTACCAAGGAGCAACTTTACGCAAGAGTAAGCTAGATTTATTTTGTCCTCGCTCACAAAGTACCGCACAGCATGTTAACTGGCACCATCCAATAAAAACGGCAATCATTTCAATGGGAAGCCACATGCCTCAACTTCTGGGATTGTTATTCCATATGTGTCGGCGAAAACCCCTTCCTCCACGATGAAGACCCCATCTCTGTAACGCATAGCTGGAACTTTAAACCAAAGCTCCTCACCTTTTTCCGACCTGTGACAAGACAAGAAGCTTTGCAAGCTTTGCAAGATCGACACAAGAGCAAGCAAGGGGAAGGACAGTCAAGTGCACAAACCCACAAAGAACGAGAAGAGCTTGCGCCCACAAATCAACCCTCATCCTCGGTCTCAAGAGCAAGCTCCAATACTCATTGGCACCACAACAAGACCAAGCAAGCCCGCGTGCCTCTCACCTTGTCACTGGAGCATCGGGAGCCACATCTGCCCTTTCCTCCCCATTCTCCACGACCTATAAGGTTATCTCCATCGTGCAAAAGCCTCGACAACCCGAGGCAGCAAATTCGGCATCGTTATGACCATGGACCAGCTCAAGAAGTTTTGCCGCGAGTACGGCAACCTCGGCAGTATGGCAAGACAAAAGAAACAAAGAGAAGAGCATTCTTCAAGAATCTTAAGCAGTGAGATTCCTATTGCGGAGTCAGCTGGCAACACCTTGGCCCAAGCAGAGGAAGAAGTCAGAATTACATCAAGAGCCAAAGCATGACAAATCCCCAAGCAAAGAAAGAAGTCGTCCTTGACAAGCAAGCAAGCCAAGTGGTTGAACCACTCAACCTCTCGGAGCCAATTGATCGTCCACAGCCCAGCCCCAACACAATCCACCTAGTCTAAACAAAGGCCTAGTCAATACAAGCATTGGATCTAGCAGAGAGAGAGAGAGAGAGAGAGCACAGAGCCAAGAACAAGTCACCAATTCCAAACCAAGATATACTCTTCACATCTTATGCAACTTGGGAAGCAGGTTGCAACCGACAAGGTCAAGTGTTCATCAGCCAAGATCACTGCTACAATCAAGCCATAAATCAGCTCACTAAGACACCAAGCAAGGAGCACAACAGAGCAAGAAGGAACAAGGAACCATAAAGAGAAAGAGGAAGAAAGAGGACATGATTAACAAATATCAAGCCAAAAATTATTGCTAAGAGAGGCCAAGAGCATTGAAACCAAGAAAGGCTAAGTAGACCAAGAGCAAGGTGAAGTCTTCTAAAGAGTTGTATGAACAAAATTCAAAAACCCTTTCATTATACATCCATCAGTCTTATGCCTTAAGTTGTATTATCTTTTCTGCTACAAATTACAAAATTGAAAATGTGTATTATTATCCTGACTGTTACATGAAATATCATTACTATATTAAATCACTATAAGTGATGTTTTATGCATGAGGATAGTTATAATAATCCATATATGTGATTGGTATGGAAATACTAAAAACATTATTATTATTATTACGCATTATTGTTTACATTTAAAAAATCTTTTTTCTTCTAAAAATTTATTGACATACTTGAAATTCCACAGTATGTCCAGAATGTGTGAAACAACCTTTAAAAGACCAATTATACCAATCACCCCAACTTGTAGTGGTATATTTTGCTGTACCAACAAAAATTATTACTTGATACTCATCATAATTCATTTTGAAATTATCAGTTTGTAATGTTGGATTAGGATCTATTCTTTCCTTAAAATCATTTTCATGTGTTTTATTGTGTATAAATATATTTACCTTTCTTTGATGTTTTGAGCTGTAATAATCTAATTTACACTTCATAGCTTTTTCTAAACTTATGTTCCAACAATGACCAAAAGTTTGAGCAAAAATAATAATAATAAAATTTAGTAATAATAACATGAATAGTGGATAATGAAAGCCCATAGATTTTAATTAATTTATTATAATTCTAATTGTTATATATATAAAAAAGTAAATTATAAAAAGTAAAAAGTAAAGGATTTTTCAAAAAAAGTTTTTATATATCATCTTTAAAAAATAAAATAAAACATAAAGTAAAAGTTAATTATAATTTATTTTTTAATAATATTTTAATAAAGTGTTAAATATTATTATTTTAAAATTTTAAATTTAATATTTCTTTAGTTACTTTAAATTATCTTTACGATCTTATGAATATGTTTGTTTAATGTTTTATGATTTTCTGAACCGTTCAACCAATAACTTTTCATGAACATATATAAATATTAAGATTGGTATTAATTTCATATTAAATGAGTATTATAATAAGTATTAATTCTATTAATACTAAATTAATGTTTTATATTGAAAATTAAAGTTTTAAGCTTAGTTTTTAAAAAAGTAGATTTTTTATATCTCCTTTCATACTATAAAGAAGTTGATTACACTTTAAATACTTTGTAATAATATTTTAATGAAGGTCTTTTATTTATTTATTTGAATTAAGAACACAATTACCATATAAAGTTTATTTATTTGGAATTACTAATAATTTTTTTTAAATTACTAAGAAATTATTTTAATATAAGAATGAAAGAATATAATTTATTTTCCTTATATGCATTTTGTATGAGCTTTAAAAAACTTCTATAATGCTCTATTGTTTTTACTATTCTGTAATTAATTTTATAAAAACTAATATAATTATTCTATTTCAATACCTAGCACAATAATCATTCTTTAACCATAATCATTTTGAACTCAATAAGTGATGTAGCTTTAAAGGCTATTAATGAATCAAAATTTGGAATGGAACATATGGCTTAAAAACCTAAGTCAACCGCATCATTTTTCTAGAATCTCACCCAACAGGGTGCAATTGAACATTGAGCTTCTTTATTGCTTGTTATGTAACACACTTGAATTTAGAGTTAAACTCCAAGTTTATTGTGCTATGAAGTAAAGGTTTGATACACTTTTAATCCTATAGACATTAATTCTCTATATCCAACATTTATATGCAAAATGATGTTTAACACAATTTTGGTATTGGCTTAACATGCTTCAACCAGTATCTTTATTATTATATATTTAAAATTCCATTTCCGCACTTAATTTACCAATCCTTCCATTGTGTAAATCAACTATTCCATGTGAGTCAACTAGTCATCCACCCGTACTGCGGTCCCATAGTAAATACCTACACAAGACCACAAGAGGAAAGATGTACGCATGGATGCCTAATACATATGATTCCAAATTTAAGGGTAGGAATATACTTTGCTCAAGGGTATATTATATTTTTAAGTAGTCACTAATCAATAGAAATCGAACTCATGCCATTTGCTCCGATACCAACTGTAGCGCACATTATCTCTCTCCTTTTAAGCCAACTAGAAAAGAGGCAATTGCTTAATGAAAGAGCCCTTAGTGGTTATTTTATCCCCATTTATCCCCCAAGGTTCCAAGGATCCATGGTGATAGTATATTCAAATCTCATCCCATAATCACATGCACTATATCAAACTAGGAAATCTAGACACTTACCATAAATAACATAAAAAATTATCAAGACTATTTGGTTTGATTTAAAGAAGTAATAGAGCAACCAAGGCCAACAATTGGAGGTAGTCACATATGGGGCATAATAGCGAGGGTGCTTGATAAACATGGTAAATTATCACATAACAATATTGACTCAATATCATAAGGGTTCTCAACACTAGCAAATGCAAATTAATAAATAAGTTTCTCTAACTAGATCAAATATGCTTAACTAATAATATTTAGGAATTATGTCATTATACTCATCTACTCAAATATACACACGATGACTAGTTTCTCAACCAATTTAAGTGGAGACCATGGAAGAAATCAGCAATACCAACTTTTTGCCATTGTGGCAATAAAGAGAGAATGTCCATAGGATTAACTGACAAATATCTTTCGATATTCAAACTCATATTTGCAACATGCTACCAAAATCCTAAACTACCACAATAGTCTAATGACCAATCTTAGCTTTCATGCCCTGGAACGAATTCAATTCTAGTGCCACCTCCTTCCTCCTCTGCTGTGAGTCTTGATGGATCAGAACCCAAGATATACACTATGGTATAATCAATGTTTTTTTATGTATATTTTTATTGTGTAGTGACTTGCAGATGAATTATAATATATGGTAAGCAATATGTATGCTACATCCAAGCCATATCTCATGAGAGAGAACAACAAGATCACAAGTGTCACTTGTACTGTCTTAGAAGGTGCAATGAACAAATTTGTCACTCAAGCCATGTGACATGGAATATTTGACACATAAGTTTAGCAATGCTTCACAGACACAGCCCAATCGCTCTCTACTTGCTACTGGAGGCCTCACGACACAAAACAAGCAGCACACGTGACTAACCCTTTTAGCACACTGCAGATGCCAACACAGGATGTTCTACTCCAAGTAGAACACACTGATAGAAACACATTTGTTATTTAAACAAAAGAACCCATAGTGAGTTTATATGCTTTTAAGCAACAAACACTCCAAGAAATGCTATCTGGGGTGAGGCCCAGCATAACCCTCACTCCCATTGCTTTCCAGGATCTCGAAATCCTATACCTCACAAGCCCTAATCCACCATCTCTCATCTTATAAACATATTGGGTTCAGCTGGTTGATCAATATGCTCAATTGAAAGGGCAATGATTGCAAGTTACTGCTGCGGCAATTTCCTGTGGTTCAAGAGTGGCATTGATTTGCTTTGTGGCATTGATTGCTAGAAATTTTACCTTGGACAAAGTGGCAAGCTTGGATAATATTACAATCTGGCAAAGTTCGTATCTAGTTGTGTGTGCCTGGTTCGGCGATGTGAGGCCTGCCTTGGCAACGACTTCGTCACGTTTGGAAGAACAAGTGGCCTCTGGTTCTCCCTTGTTCTTGCTTTGAATGCTCTTGCTTGGTTTAAGCTTGAGCTTGCCATCATGCATTAGCTGGAGGCGAGCTTCGATTCGAGCTAGAGCTGGCATTAGAGCTGTGAAGTAAACACATGCAAGATCAAGCATGTGAAATCCATCCAGGAAAAAAACAAGGAAAAACCTCTATGGTTTGGTGAAGTTGCTACCGGGTTGTAGAGGTGACAAAGCATTCTACAGTGCTGAATGGCGACACCAACAAATTTTGAATGATCAACATTTGGAGCGAAATCAGCAACAGTGAAGAACCATGGCATGGGGCATGTTTTCGAGTATGAGATTGTCCTGCATGCCACTGACATTTCGAAAGAGCTTGTTTCTTCAAAGGCACTAGCAGGTCATGTGGCCACTTGTGGTGATATTGGGAGAGCTCTATGCAAGGCTTAAGAAGGTTTTGTCTATGTTGTTCGGGGAACAACTGGGCATGAGGAAATCAATTGGAGAGTGGATGAGCTGGAGAATTGTAAGTGGAGAGTAGCAAAAGGCAATGCTAACACTGTCTTTTGAAATGTGTAGTTGTCTACATATTGTTTGATAAAAAGTCTTTGGCCCAGGTGCTTGATCTTGGGGATCTTGGGCAGCCCAAGGGATCTCGCCTTTGTTACCAAGATCAAGTGCCATGAGTCTGAGAGTGGGAATTCCTGGGATGGGCGGCTGTACGGCCGATAAGACAAATTTTTCCAAAATTCAATGTTTGAAAGGTAAGGTATAAATATTGATAAAATATAATACACTAAAACATTAAGAGAAGCAATGATAGCCCTTCAAATTAAAATTAACTCTAGCTCATTCAAAATGAAAGGTGGCAACATCTCATTGAGACTCTACCTTTCAGCTCCAAAATAGGACTTTTAGGCTTCTTCCAGTCCCACGAGCTCTAGGCCACGCATGCGAGCTTGGAGCAGTAGCAAGGATGCTCCAACTGTGCTTGGAGATAGGGAGTTTTGGAAATCAGAAATCGTGGTAGTGCTGGATCCGAGAACACCAGGACCTGAGGGTTGCAGCACACAGTGGCAGTGAAAGAAAAACCACACCAAGGCCATCAAGGGTTGTGATCACTTGGCCCCAAAGTGCACGCAAGCTACCATGTTGAAGTTGGCTTGCCTACTGAGAGTAACGATCTCACTACTAGTTGTGCGACTACTGCTCTACATGATCTATTTGCCCACTGTCAAAAGATCGGCTGGAAAGAATTGCTGGAGGTCAAATTCTAGCTAAGTGAAGGCACGCTGTGTGCTTCATGGAGAACTAAGGTTGTGTGCGCAAGTTGTGAGTGTGGCTTGTCTTCAACATAATTTCTTTAATGAAAAAGGACTATAAAATCAATTGAACCAAAAATGAAAGAGGAAAGGAATTTTTAGCATGTCTCTCAAATCTATGTTCTTGATGTTCTTGAGGGACTTTTTTGTTGTAGGACTATTAGGCAGGAAGCATCTTACTCTCACTTAGGGTTATGTGCCTCTGGTTTGGGTCTACTATAGTTTTTCTCTTTTGAGTTTTCAGGTTTTTCTTTGCATGCAAAAACAAGAATTGAGTATTATCATCTTCTAATTTTTCCTTGGATGACTTGCATGAAGATATTATATATATTCAATATTTTTTATTTACTTTAGAAAAAGGGGCCCAGAATCCTTCAATCTAACGGCTCTCTAATTCATTTATAATCAATAATAATTAATACTTAAGAGGTATAATGAAATATTCTTGATTGTTTTTCAAACCAAATTAGGGTTCCTTGAGCTCTCCTTAGCATTCTCGCAGCAACCAATGATCATTTGAAGCAGGAAATGATAAATCACAAGGCAGATATTAACAACCACACAGTCAAAGGGCTCCCCTTTTAGGTGGTGATGAGAGTGGCTTCTGAGCTACCAATAAATCATCAATGAGGAACTTTGGTCTTCTTTTTATTATATGGCGTGTCAAAACACGTAATTGGATTTTTTTTTTTTATGTGTTAATCCAGACATGCATTCTAAACCTAATATCTACCACTAAAACAACATTCTTTAAATACTACTAAGTGATAGTGACTGTTAAACATTAAATTCAATTTGAAGCTTCCAATGTATAATAATTTCAACATTATAAATGCATAATTTTTTAAAAAAAATTAATAAAAATACTTCCCTTTATTTCCCATGACAAGTGACATCACTTTTATATCTAAGATCACTCAAAATATCATGACCTAACATCACTTACCATAAACAAGAAGTAGATTTTAATGCTCTCGTGTTCCATACTTTCGTACTTCACTCTCTTTTATGTCATCAGTGGCACATTGTCAAAGTCAACTTTGCTCTTCACAATGAACTTAATCATTTGAGCATACAAAAACTTCCTCATATCAAACAAAGCCTTGGATAACTGCTCGTAGAAGGCTTTGGCTCTGAAGGCAAGCTCGAAAGGGCTGTTCTTGGGCTCCACAGGGCTTGGTAACGTACACATCTCAGAGGGTAGGAACCAAAGTTGCGCTAAAGCTTCGGACCATACATAAGAAGTGTGAGTACATCGTGGCCAAATCCTAGCCTTTTGCCTTGAGCACGTATATGCTTTTGATTTGAGGGGGAAACCACCAAATCTGGGCCGTCAAAGCTCCCAAAAACTCCAATGGAGGTGTTCTTGGTGATACTCGCGGCTTCCATCGTATCCTCCACAGCGAGGGCTTTTTCGTCTTCTCCTCGATCACCACCTTTGCAGCACTGTCCAAGCGCAGTCTTCTGGTTTGGAGATTCTTTCGCAGACACTGGAAACGCCCAAGCGGCATCTCCATTCATTAGCGCGGCCGAGTATCTACCGTATGGAATGACACACTTTGGAAAGCCTTCGAATCGATATTCTGATGGTCGCCTGGTGACTGATTTCTTCGGTAAGAACTAAAGCTTTTTCCTGTTCTTGCCATTGCTGATACTCAGTTCTTCCTTCCCAATCTCTTCTTTGGCAGCTCAAGCTTTCCGTCACAAGAGCTCGCCCGGTCCTATACTTCAAAGCCTCAACTCAAACTACGAGCACGGGATCGTCTTTGCGGTGTCTGGAGCCACGGCTTTGAACACGAGTTACGTCGTCCCATTCTACCTCCCTGTCCAAGTCGATCAATACCTTCGCTTCGTCAAGGATGCGTATCCTACTCCTGGAAAGTCTCACCATCACCATGGTAGGATCCTGTTCTCTCGAGCTTGGTTTCATCTTTCCATCTTTGCCAGATAGAAAAACCAAGCTTCCTCGAAATCTTCGCAGTGTGCTACACGTCGTCGTTGTCGGCACCAATGATATCTTCGGTGCATACATCCGGAAGCTAATGGATCCTGGCAATGTAACAGTGGTGATCATTCCACAGGTCATCCAAGCGATTTCTCACGCTATCCAGGTACGTCTTTCCTTTGACACCACAAAAAGCTCTTGACTCCCTCGGATTATAAGAACAGACACTGTCCGACAGCGGTGCGAGCCAAATCCTGGTCCTGAATTCTTTCCCTCACGGATGCATGCCTTTGATACTTAGCGTGTTTGGAGACCTGCCCAAGGACTCGCGAGGATGCCTGTCACCTCTTAACGAAGTTGCCGAGGCCTTCAATCGCTCCCTCTACAAGCTTGTCCAGGATTTGAGTTCCAAGCTCAAGAACACCCTCCTCCTCTATGCTGATGCCTTCAAGTTCACTCTAGACGTAATGGACAGGCCCACGGACTTTGGTAAGTTTCTCTGTCACTTCGAGCAAGTCTAAGATGATCACATCGAGCAGGCTTTAGAAACGAAACCAAGACCTCGGCTTGCTGTGGAACTGGCGGGGCTTACAACTTCAACTCAACCAAGCTCTGTGGCAAAGACTTCCAACCCGAGAGCACCACTCTGAAGCCGTCCGAGTTCGTCAGCTGGGATGGCATCCACTTTTCCGAAGCTTTCTACGAGCACCTGTCCAAGGCCCTGCTCACTGGGAAGTACCTGGATCCCCCTCTCGACTTCTCGGAGCTTTGCAAACTTGGCAACGTGTAGCTCAGCTCAGCCGGAGAAATAAGTTACGCTCTCTTCTTTTTCATGTTCCGCCACTTGTCCTTGAGATCCTGGCCTGTTCTACTGGGATGAAACTTTCCCATGCCGAATTGAAGTATCGTTGTCCACCTGGAGCCGTACTGCTGATAGCCTTTCTGGAAACAGTATCAAACGTTACAAAGAATAAATATCTCATCGTTTTGAATACCCTGAGTGTTTCTTCTTCCAGTGAGTTCCATACCATCTTCTTGCGACGGACATTAGGAATCGATGCTCTTCCACTGCACGAAGCATGTTAAAGAATAGGAAACAAAAGTGAAGCGAAAGCATAGTTTACTTGGAATTCGTCTTTCGTGGATAATCACTGTCGTCATCGTCCTCGTCATCTTCTTCATCCGAGCTGCTGCTTCTCGCACGGTGTTTCCGTGCGTGAGCTTCATCTTTCGAGCCCGACGGTTCCTCAACTTTGAGTTGAACTTGATGTTCCACCAGGTTCTCCTTTTCCTTGTCTTCTACTTGCTTAAGTACTTGGTGCGATGCTGTCAAGCTTTCAAGCTTTTCTTTAGCCCGGTCCGCTTCTAACTGTGCCTTGGCAAGCTTTTCCATGGCTTTCTTGTACACACATTTCGGACAGGACCAGCCTTCTCCTTCACGAATCTGCTCTCTTGCCATGCACTTTGGATGAAGAGCAATCGGGCAGTCGTCACAGCGGACTAGTTTGCCTCGCAGCTCGCACATGTAGCATTTGTCCGAGTCTTTAGCGCGACTGTCTTCAATGTTCTTCTCTCCTGTCTCTAAACTTTCACGACCATTCTTGTCGACTGTTTTCGGGCCCTCAGGATCATCTTCATCCACTGCCTTCGAGCCTTCACGGCCATCCTCGTCTTCTTCACGGCCATTCTCGGCAGGCCTACTTTTCTCGACCACCTTTGAGCCCTCTCGGTCATCGTCCGAGTCCAAGTTTATAACTTCTACCTCATGCATCCCCTTTCTTTGTTTGAGCTTCGGCTTAACGTCTGAAAGGGATAGTTCATCGTCGTCCTCCATTAGCATCCTCCTCTTCGACCTGCGTGTGCTGACATTCCCACTGTGAATGATCTTAGGAGCTTCGAAAGGCTGCTTTTCTGGCGGAGCCGACGGTGTAGCGTGATTCTCTGTCCCCCTTTCCTCCACACTGTTCTTCTCACCTTCGCAACTCCCTTCCTGAAATTTTGCGTGCTTTTCTGGCACTGGCGGAGCCGATGGTGCAGCGTGATCCTCTGTCCCATTTTTCTCCACACTATTCTTCTCACCTTCACAACTCACTTCCTGAAAGTTTACAGGTTGCAGCTCCAAGAGATGATAAAAAGAAAAGACTTACATCGATGCTTCCTCTTCGTGGGGGAGACTTGAATGCCTTGTCCGGGGATCCGTCAATCACCACTGTGGTGTCGTCACTCCCGACGGACATATGCCTTGGAGACAAACGTTCCGGTGGTACCCCATCGTTTTGCTCGTTTTCTTCGTCGACTGGAGGCATGCCTCTTTGCTGCTCCTGCTTCTCCAACGACCTTGCTACAGGCGGGTAAAGCCCATTCGTATAGTCATCAGCAATCTATGGAGGAAAAAAAAGATAAGAAAAGGATCCCAAGGTTTGCTAAGAACATCCCAAGGATTCACGAAGCAAAAAAATCACCTTGTCTAGAACAGGAGCTTCCAGGCCTTGCCTTTTCCTTTGGACGAACCGAAACAACTCGGTCCTGGAATTGGCATCACCAATCTAGGTAGAAACGAGCGTGAGCTTTGGGAGGAAGAACGAAACGAAAAATGAAGAAACGAAGAAACGAACGAAAAACAAATTAAAAAAAATCACTTGCCAGTTGAAGCATGCCGCTAACATCTTCGTCGGGGGACGCCAGCGCCAAGATCAGCTCTTCTGCGCCGCAATCTCGATCCAAAATCTCTTCCGAGACGAGCATCTCTTGGAACTGCCGCAGCGCCAGGCCCTTGCACAGCGATGGAATCGCGGCAGCATTGGGAACGTAGACTGCGAGCTCTAGAATCAAGGAAAAATCCCAGAGTGTGAGCGACGCCAGAAAGAAGATCGCGCAGTGATTACCTCGCAGCGTCTCGGTGGAGACATCGGGCTGCCGCGCGAGTTTGTCCAGTATCCATTGCCAAGGAAGCGCCATTTACCCTAAAATTCATTTGCCCAAGTTTTAGGGTTCTTATGGCGGCGATGGCGATGGAGGTGGATGCCGCCCCGGCGCCAGCGGCTGGAGAGCCGGATCTACCTCCAATGAAGGTGAAATTCGAGCCGCTATCAGCTCACGAGATGCAGGGAGGGAAGGTCCAGTTTAGAAGAATTGCGGTTCCTTCGCACAGGTACACGCCACTCAAGAAGCACTGGTTAGAGATTTACACGCCCGTGGTGGAGCAGATGAAAATTGACCTTCGGATGAATCTTAAGGTAAGCGCATTCTTTCCTTTAGGAAGATTTGCTTCATTGCTTGCAAAGATTTTCCTTGGAACTTGTTTTGATCGGTCGATAGTTTTTTCTTTCTTTGGCCTTCTTTTCGGTGTTCGAGTGGATTGCTTCTAGTGCTTCATTGCTTGCTTCTTTGCAAACCATTTCCATATCGTTCGTGTCCGAGTGGATTGCGGCTTCGATTTTTTACTAGACAAGAAGATGAGATTTGAAAGAACTCTCCGATGTTTTCTCTTTTGCAGACTCGCAAAGTGGAACTCAAGACGAAGAGAGACACTCCAGACACAAGTGCCCTCCAAAAGAGCGCCGATTTCATCCATGCTTTCCTTCTGGGCTTCGACATCGCCGACGCCATCGCGCTCCTCCGCCTCGACGACTTATACGTGGACTCGTTCGAGGTCAAGGACGTAAAGTCGCTCAAAGGCGACCACCTTTCGCGAGCAATCGGCAGGCTCTCCGGCAAAGGCGGCAAGACAAAGTTCGCCATCGAGAACTCGACACGAACAAGAATAGTCATCGCCGACTCGAGAATTCACATCCTGGGAGCGTTTGCCAACATCAGAATCGCCAGAGACGCGCTGTGCAGTCTCATTTTGGGATCCCCGGCAGGCAAAGTCTACTCCCGGCTTAGAACTATAGGGAACCGGCTGGCCGAGAGAAGCTAGAACGCACAGCCAGGTCTTACCGAGCTCAAATTCAGGGAAAAAGAAGAGAGAAGCTCTGGTACGTAGCTACCATTTCAATGCATGCTTCTTGCGTTTGTTTTCGTGTTCTTTTTTTCTCGTAACGTCTTTTGCTCCTAACACGTACGCTGCATGATCGTGGCTTGAGCTATTTAATCTCCTTTTCCAGCAAGCTTCTTGCGGCAGATAAACAATGGATCACCGCTACATCACTCTCGCGCTGTTTGCAATCGTCACGCTCTCGAGCAAGGCAGGATCATCAACTCTCAGCCATCTCGCAGCAGCGCGTCTCCGCCTCGCCGCCACCACCTCGGACGATCAAACCGCGGGAAACTCCACCGTCAGCGACCAGGACAACGGCCTCCACGACTGTCGCGAGTTCTACATCCACGACATCCTCAACGGGACCGAGGCCGGGATGGAAGCCAGCGCTTACTTGATCGCCAGGCCGGCCGAGTTCTTCGCCAATAACTTTGGAGCGATTCTGGTGATGGACGACAAGATCACCATTCACCCCGACTACAACACCACCGAGATTGGAAGAGCTCAAGGGACGTACACGGTTGTGAATCACTACGGCTCTCCCGAGCTGCTCTACGAGTTTGCGGCCGTGTTTAATGGCGGGGAGAAGATCTGCTTCTTCGGACACAGGCCGATCGACGAGCCAAGCTCCGAGTTAGCGGCGTTTTCGTGTGGGGGACACGGAAAACTCACGCAAGGCATAACTCTTGCTCGCTTCTCGGCCGTCTACTTCTCTCCCTCGGGGTTGAACGAGATCATTCGTGTAGTGATGTGTAAATTCATCTGATCGAATTAATAATTCTATTAATTAGCTAAATGTGATCGTTTGCTGATGGTAGCAACTGCCATTTCCCTGTTCTTGGGAGAAAAGCGCGATACACTACACTTAATAAACTCTATTATCCAATTATGGCTATATCCGACGTACATCCATCTAACGGCCTACGGGGTTTCACATTTGCTATATCCCAGCCGTCCATCTAACGGCCCTCCTTCCTTACGACAACAGCTGTATCCAAGCCGTCCATCTAACGGCCCTCCTTCCTTACGACAGTAGCTATATCCCAGCCGTCCATCGAACGGCCCTCCTCCCTTCAAATATTTTGAGTGAGTGAGCGGCAATTCACAAGAACGCGTCGCTCTCCTCTCCATTCCATTGCGCTAGGGTTTCTTGCGACGCGACGCGATGGCGGACGACAATGCGCCAAGGTGAGATTTCTTGTCTAGCGCTGCTCGCAGGCATCGGCAGCCATGCGGTGATGGATCGATGCGTGTTTTTCTTGATCGAAAAATATTTTGGTGATTCCAGGCGACGACGGAGGGGATCGCAGGCTGGAGCCGAGCTTCCTGAGCTTCAGGATGAGCATCACCGCAAGTAATTCTCTTTCCTTTCTAGCCTGGACAGTAGAGCGGGATATAGCGATTGTGTTTTTTTGTGTGTGTGTGTGTGTGTGTGATCGATTGAATTGTCGTGTTTCCAGACGGGGAAGGAAGAGATCGCATGGAGACGAGCTTCGAAACGAGGAGCCTCACGGGAACAGGTAAATCTAGTTTCTTTCTCACTTCGAAAGTTTTGATGTGTCTTTCTTTCTTATAGAGGGAATGACCATGACGTACCAATATGCCGACGACGAGCAGCGACTCATGAGCTTGGGCTGCAAGAGGACGACGCAATCCACCCCATGAGGTAATCTCCCAGTTCTTCCTGCTTGAAATCCTAATCTCCTCCTGTGAAATCCTGGACCAGAGGACGAAATCCAGTCACGTTTCAAAAGCATCTCACGGCATCGGATGTGGATGTGGACCTGAATCGGTTGGTGATACCAAAACACTCTCGACGATTCTTCATGGAGGCGGGAGATGAAGCCATCCTAGGTCGGGGGGGCATTCTCTGCAGGAAGCTCAAAGTGCAGCGTGGAGATCTCCAGTGGAGGTTGGAGACTCGTTTCCTCTTTCCCGGATCCTTCTACCTCCTTGGCTGGAACAATGTGATAGAAAGCTTGTCCCTTCAGGCTAATCAAACTGTGACGTTCGAGAAGATCCAGAGGTACCAGTTCACACTCGATGTAGCAGATCACTAGGAAGAAATGAAAGAAACAAATCAACATTCGGTTAACTTCCTAGGATAATCTTCCAGTGCAATGCTCCTCCCTCGCATCCAAGCCGAGAACCTTTGTGTTGACTCAAGGATCGAGACTGGCAGCCTCACATTGTCTTTGTGGCGATTCTCCTGTCTTGCAGAAAAGGAACAAATCCTGGATGATTTCTGACGATCAAGAAGCTCTCCAGAGAGCAAACGACGCTCCACTGCCTGCTTGAGATCACAGTGATCTTTGTGGTCAGCATGCATGCGCCAAGAACAGTGCTTTCAAGTAGAAATTATTTCAAGCGATAGTCGCCGTTCATTGCTTATTGACCAGCAACCCGTTGACTTACTGTAAGTAATACCCTACCCTAACTTTAGGGCCAATGGAGCTTCTTGGCTGGATGCTGTGGGATATCTTCCGCCATTTCGATCTCCAAACTCTTCTTCGTGCCAGGCTCGTGTGCAAAGAATGGGATTCTCTCATCTCCCACAACTTCTCCAGGTTTTATGGCGATCAGCCAGCAGTCATGGCGTTGTTTACAAGCACTACGGAGGTATGGTTCCCGTTCTCCAAATCACAGCCTAGCTTGAAATTAAACGTTGGGTACGATCAAATATATCGCTCGTTGCCTGCTGCCTGGGTATCAAATGGATTGATAGCCGGATGGTTGTCAAAAAGCCCTTCTGATCTATTCGTATGGAACCCTTTGACCAACCGGCGAAAGATTTTCCCCAACAAAGAGACTCTCGAAGAAGAGTTTATAGTGGATCCAGTCACACGGAATTACAACCTGTGGGTTTACCAGTATATGGGTGACAATGCCCTTCTTTATGAATCTCAGACGGGAGAATGGTCAAAGATCAAGAAAAGATATCCGGGCTGGAACGTTAAGTATATGGTTCATTGTGATTTAAGCAATTTGAGTATCTGGGATGTCGAGTGCAACCCGATGAGACGGGTTGCAAATCTACCTTTGCGCAATGAATGGATGACACGTTTTTATGAGGAGAGAAATTATCCCTCCCTTTGTGATAGCAACTTTGTGGGGAATATGGTAATTTGCAGCTTTATGTTCCATGGATTTTACGCAGCATATGACTTGGTTCATGGCATTTGGGACACTTTCCTAACAGTGGAACTAGAGTGTGCTGATGGACAAGAAGTTTTTGTGCCAAGCTTGGACAAGCCTTGAAGTATTTACATTATGTTTAAATTTACACAAATAAAAACAGATAAGTTTATTTTAAATAATTTGATCTTTAGGATATACAATGCTTCCTGATTCTAAACAAACATCCCACGGTTCCTTTTTAACCAAACCTGTAACAAGACACGTAGCGCCAAATATATAGTAGCTCCTCTCTTGTTTCACTTCCCCTCATACAAACCCAGCAGCTTCTCCGCCGGTGTCACCCCGTTATCTCAGCTATGTCGTTGGGAAATCCAGCTTCCTTATACCCTCATCTTAACAGCCCGTCCCGGAACCCCTTTAGTCAACCATCTTTGAAACCGATTCCAGAGCTTCTTCGTCGGCAAGTGAGGCAGCAGCATTATCGTTGCTAGTCAACGATATCTTCCGCTCTATTTCCCTACAGCCGTGACCTCCAGGAGGAGTGGATTGATCCTCGCGGCTTTGTTTCCAACCTTTTCTGAAAAAAAATCCCACAGATTTTTGTTATTTACAGAGAAAGCGTGAGCATGGTAGACAAAGATAATACCTGTTTTGATGAGCTAAGGACACCATTGGTTTGTGGGAGCTCGGAGTCTTGCTGATGACATTTTGTCCACTGCTGAACTCCATAACTTTTGCAATTGAGGCCGACGACACTAGCAGTTGAGAAACTTCTCAAAGGCTCTGAAGAACTTTCCATTTCTTCTGCGTTCTTATTCAAAACCCAGAGTGCCTGATTGTAACCAAATCGGATGGGGAGTTCAAGAGATGCGTTTTTTCCAGACACTTACTGCTGCAAAGATGACGAAGCAGTGGGTCGAACAAGTGCTGAGCTCGTGTGCCCGTATTCCTGGCTCTTTCCTGGAGAGCTTGTCTTCTGCGCCTATTTGAAAAGCTCGCGCTTCGTCAGTGGAGCATCAGATCCAACTCTTTCCACGCTAATTGTTTTGAACAACGAAAACACAAAACGCAGACATATACAAGTCGAAAAGGAACTTAGTTACACTTCTGTACTTGTTTGAAAGTTTTCATTGTTTGAACCTGAACATATGTTTGCCAAAGTTGTACCACCTTGATGATGATCAACCCTTTTGATAAAGCATCAAAGTCATCCATATCCTGGTTCCAACCGATTGGCACGTTCTAGTAAATCAACAATGGAGATCACGTGCTCCACACTTGGAAGTTGGAAGTATTCCATCCCCTCGTCGGCCAAACCAGTTTAGCAGCAGGTGACGAGTCCGGTTTAACTTTTCGAACAGATCAAACACTGAGTCCCTGTCCCCTTGATGGCTGTACCCTGCGATCAGTGCGCTGCAGGAATCGGGCTTTACTCCCTGGAGGCTCATACTTGGGAAATCTTGCAAGGCGAGCTCGATGTTGCCACTCTCGTAATCGATCCTGATGTTCCATGAAACGACGTCTTTGATCAAGATCTTGTGAAAAACCCGACATCATCAGCCAAACTCCGTATGTAGAGGCTAAACAGGTCAGATGAAACACTTTGCGTACAAATCAATGAGACTGTTGGAGACGAAAACGCTGGAAGAAATCCCTGTCCCTGTTGTTCTTGCGAACTGCGAGTAAATCTCTCCGCCCCTATCCAGCGATCCCAGATTCAAGCATCGAGCACGGCCATCACAGTCCGAGCATTCCATCTTCCAAGAGCATAAGCCCACAGAGCTCTAATGCTACCTCGTCTTCCCCTCCTAGCAAGCAGGCTCTAGAGGTTTTCCAGGCGGCCAAGTGGGGAAGAAAGGACGTGGTTTTGTGGAGTGCGATGATAAGCGCCGCTCTCACGCTGCCACTTCTTCCATAGAAATCCACCAGGGCGCTGGCCACGAAGCCGTCCACCAAGAATCCACCGCTCTGAGGAGCCAAGCAAGCCCCTCTCCCCTGGAAGAAATATTTCACCCCTTTTCTCTAGCGGCCAGCGAAGAACAGGAGACCTGTGACGAAGCTCCGGCCGTTTGGATCCATCCCCTCGGCGTACAAACGCGAGAATGTGGCTGGCCACACCGCGCGTTGATGCAGTTCCACGACGCCACAGTGCCGGCGACGCCTCGTCCATCCTGCCCCAATCACTTGATGTTCTTCAGGAGAGCCATCCAGCTGGATTTTGCCGGTGGGTTTAGAGTTTATGGCATGATTTCATATGTGGCATTACTTTCTTCACCGTCTTGCACACTTCTTGAACCTGGGAGAGCGAGTGCTGGTATCTTTTGCCTGCCTGGTTTAGAGTTTATGGCGGGAGAGTAGAGTGAAGCTAAACGTGATAACTTGATCGATGGCTGCTGCAAGGCGTCGATGGTGGAGTTTTTCAAGACGATGAGCTCCGGCAGTGGCTGTGTTCCAGACGTGGTGAATTTTAACAGCTTGCGCAAGGGGCTGTGCTCGACCGAGAGGATGAGCAAGGCTTTCGTGCTCTTTGAGTACATGTCCAAGGCTGGTTGCTAAGCAATAGCACTCTTCTCCACGGGCTTTGCAAGGCCGGGAGGACAAGATGGTCTTATACTTTCTTTGTTACCGGGCTTTGCAAGGCAAACCGGGTGGCCGAGGCTTTAGCGGGATTCTCTGCAAGAAAGGTCAGAGATGTTGCTCGTCGAGATGGTGGGGAGATGCTTCGGTCACAAAAGTGTCACTGTGGAGGAAGGCCAGATCACTGTTCGATGCTTTTGAGCTCTTTGCGTTTCTTATAGAGCTCCATCAACTTTGGTAACAGTCACCCCTGGGTTTATTGATTAATCTTTTGTACTTTTTTCTCCCAGGTTCAAGAAGTGTTCAAGATGGTGAAGAATTTAATGTTACGAGTAAATTTTTTATTTTATTTTAATCACTTAACCACTCCTTAGACCTCTTTTTCACAACTTCAAGTGTTGAGTTTTTCAACACTTTGATCCATGTGGTATGCAAGTCCAAGAGGGGTGTGCTGCTGTTCCAGAGAACGAAAAGCATGGAGGACTTTTACTGCCCTCCAAACTTGGAAATGTACAACATCCTGGTGGACAGCCACTAGGCAGCTGGATGAGGCTCAGGAGCTCATGAAGGAGATGACCACCTACAGCCTACCTTCAGAGGTGACTTGATCGCGCCTGTGACCTGCTGGAAGAGTTGAGCCAGGAGGAGCTTTCCCAGATTCCTTGACAGACATCTCCATCTGCAACGCTCTGAGCACAGCCAGTGAGTTGACTACGCTCTGAGCCACCTAGAGACAATGAAAGCTACAGGATCGACGCTGGACGTTTGTGGCGAGATGGTCACTGCAAAATGCACACTGGAACATACGTCACTGTGTAGGCTGCAATCTTTCAGGAGATGGTGAAGAGTGCTGTCGTCCCAGACAGAGTCTTGTACCATCTTGTATCACTCGCTTAGCTGCTTAACTCAAGTGACTATGTGATGCACAAGATCACCGTGCAAGGCAAGGAAGGCCAAGGATGCTTGAGATCTCGTGGAGAGGGACGGCTTCCCAGCCAATGCCCATATCAATGTGGTGAGTGACCTATTACATTTTTTATAATATTTAAGTATATTTTAGAGTAATTTTAATTTGGTTTGTAAGGTTTGTAAATAACATATATTACCACCTAGCATAATGCATGATATTTAACTTAAATATCACAAAACTTTTAACCAATTAGAAAAAAAAACACTTTTATTCATAAGCATTTTCTTTTTATATTTGAATCCTTATGGAAAATGACATGAATTCCTTTTATATTTAAACCCTTATAAATCATCTTTTGAGTCATTATCTTTATTTATTTATATTAAGCTCAAAATTTACATTTACAAAAGAGACAATCTTATTTTATAACATCACCCATCACTAGCTAAGAAACATATG